TTTTATTTTCTTCCTTTTTTTTAACAACGCCATTAACTTTACTTCTGAAATTCTGTGTGATAATGATCACTTTAAGTGAATAATAATTACAAAACGCATTGCATTGAATAAGAGAAAAACTATTTTTATAATGAGTTAAAATGAGAATTACCTTTTGAAACACAATAATATCTTAAATAAATGCAAAATAGTTATAAGTTCTGTTGCTTGAAAAATTTGTCATTGCGTCACACATTTAAAAACTACGTCCAAAACTGTCGATTTTTTAAATTCTACATGAGAATGGTCCTTTCACGTGGTAAATAATTAAGGAACGGGCTGTATAAATGACCTAAATGAAAATTAGCTTTCTAGTTTTGACACACAGTAACACGTAGAAAAAAAAATTAAAAAAAATTAGCTAAGTTCTGCTGCTTGCACAAATTGTCATCGCGACACATTAAAAGTTTTTTTTTTTAAACATCAATCATACTTAAATTCTACGCGAGAGCGACCTTTTAATGTGGTGCATGATTAAAGAGAGGATTGTATGAATGATTATGAGAATCAGCTTTCCAGTTTTTATACGCAATAACACAAAGTATAAATATGTAAAAAAATAAGCTAAGTTCTGCTGCTTGTATAAATTTTCTTCCAAACGCGAAGTACTGAAAGTTTTTAAACAACGTCAATGACACTTAAATTCTACGTTGAAGACGACTTTTTAGTTGGTGAATAATTAAAGAGTGGATTATTCGAATGATTATGAGAATTAGCTTTCCAGTTTTGATACACAATAACACATAGAATAAATAAATAAAAAAAATGAGCTAAGTTCTGCTGCTTGTACTATTGTTGTCCTCACGAGATATTAACAATTTTTTAAACAACGTCAAATACACATTGATCTATGTGAGGACGAAGTTTTAATGTGGTAAATAATAATTAAAGAACGGATTATAGAGGCTAAATGAAAATAATCTTTCTAGTTTTGAGAAACGTTAATTTTTTGAACAACATTAAAAAATTTTTTAATAAAGCTATATGTTTAGCAATTATTAAATTCAATATAATGACAAGAATTACAGTTGAAATTGCAAGCAGTCCCTCATGTATGTTGGGGCTTTTCTATGATTTTCAGTAATTACATTGTACAAACATGGTTTCTAATATTTTTAAATGAAAAACCTAATTTTATCAATTTTTATGTTCTATTTATTAAAATTCCTAATCGCTAATTTTATTAAAATTCCTAATCGTTAATTTTATTAAAATTCCTAATCGTTAATTTTATTAAAATTCCCAATCGTTAATTTTTTGAAAATTCCTAATCATTATTTTAAATCATGAATAAAGAAAATTGTAACCATGGAAAATATGTTATAAACGCATTAAAATATTTTTTTGTCGGTAGATATGTGATTCGAAAAACTCTATATTATAAGCAAACTGAGGAGGACACAATACTGTGGTGAAAATTTTTTATGAGAAATTCTATTTTGCCTCCAATGGTTATTTAAAATTAAGAAAAAAGTGGGTTTAGGTAAACCTAGAAATAGCCATGAAATTTCAAATGCTGAAAAAGTATTTTCAGAATATAAAAAAGCAAATTAGTTTTTCCGTGTTGCGTAATCCTCTGTCGTAACTTATTTACATTTGATATTTTGAATTTTTTTTTCTTTTAGAATTTTAAACTTCGTGTTCTACTAACTTTCCTTGAACTCATCTTTTCTGTACTTTAAATTACATATGTAGATGAAACAGAATTAGTTGTGAAGGATTTCTTCCGCAGTATAGCGTTCTCTTAATAGTATTCTCCCTGCAATTTTCAGTAAGACACTGTTGGGACTTTAGAGAATAAAATTTAGCGAGGCTGATGAATGTAAAAAAAAAAAAAAATTAAATAATTAAACATGCAATGTCAATATCAAAAACGCCGCTTGTGAATTTTATTTTGAGTTAGCTTAGAGCTGATCGAGACTACCTTTTGTTTGAAGAGGTTGAAATTGGTTGTATACCTGTTTTGAATGCGGTTTAATAAATAAATGCGGTTTAATAAAGTAAATGTTTCTTAATTGTCTTTTCAATTGCACTAAATCACAATTTTAATTACTTGATTGGTAATTGTGGACCCAGACCGCTCTTTCAATTAAAAAGGACAAAATTCTTTCACTAGTCTTGTTTAAAAAAACCACTAACATCGGTTTTAAACCCACTTCCGATTACACGTACCTGTCAACAACTGAGCCGTCTGTGTCTAAACTAGCAGAATAAGCAATGTATGATTTAAAAATGTGATTTATTGCAATTGGAAAATAGAAAAGACAATTAAAAGAATATAGTCATTTATCAAATCACACTTTTAAGTACATCCAAAGCAATTTACAACTTCTTCGGTCAAAACCAGTCTCTTTCTGAAAAAAATATTTTTCAATCCATGTTTTTTTGATATTAGCGCTGCATGTTTCNTTGCTGGAAAATATAACTAATTTTTAATATGTAACTTAGTTATTTTGAAAATACTTTTTTGTTTTGACTTAGTTCTGTGATCTGTATGAAGCTTTAAAATTTATATTTACTTAATATTTAAAGTAATACAGGTAAGGAACACGCAGTTCCACGTATGTGCACCTTGGTACGTTTGGTGAAATTTATGACAGTGCAGTAGTCTAGTGAAATCTCATAGTAATATGAGTATTACATTCTATATTTATTTTGTAATATTTTCATGTGCAATTTAATTAATTTCTTTAAAGGTACATACATATTATTAACTTTAACTTTTTGTGTTTTTTCTATAATTTTACAATTTTATTCTCAAGAATTAAATATTTCCTTATAGTTAATGTTAGATTTTTTTCAATAATTATTTATTTTGCGTGGTTTGCATAATTGAAATAGTTTTGAAACTGAGATTTCATGCAGTAATTCATTGGTAAGCATTGGTATTGCATTTAGTATTACATCTCAATGGGAAAAAAAAAAATTTTTTTAAAGATATTATTAAATTTATTTATTAATGTATTTAAATGGAACATAATAGAACATCTGCATATCTGTTCCAATTTTAGGTGCAGTTCAACATTTTAAGTTTATAGATTCCTTTACTTAGTTAAAACCTGACGTCTACGTATGTGTACCTAAAATTACCCTGGCAGTATAATTCATATTTCGTTAATCTTATCATGACTTATGGCAGTGAAATAGAAAAAATCGTAATTGTAAAATATATTTTTCTTTATTTATACTTTAGTAATGAAGAGGTTAAAGAAATTTCAGTGATAAATAACTGTTTTTCTTGGATCTAAATTACTGTAAATAAGTGCAAATTTGAAATTTGTTTGTTTGTTTGGAAGCGAACAGTGTTTGGAAGATTTTATCTTTAACTCAGAAAAAGTCACCGGTGTTTTATGCTGTACTTCATAACCATGAATTATTAAAGTAACTAAATATAATATTTTAAACTTATTATGACCTAAATTAACACACAATAATGAAAAAGTATATATGATAAAAATATGTATATATGTTAAAAAGTATGAAAAATATGTTTAATAAAAATTCTGCTAATTAGTTCATATCAAACCAACATTGAAAACATTTTAATAAACAAAAAGACAAGAACTAAATTATATTAGAAGTCTTTTTCTTTTTATTACCATCGATGTCATATTGGAGAGAAAAGATACAGTGAGTGATATCGCAAAAGTGGCGGGAATTGAAATAACTTCACAGCTTTAGTTATGCACGATAACACTCCAAAGCAGAATTTATATTAAACATATTTTTCAGATTTTTTTTATTATTTTGCATTAATTTAGGTCAAAATAAGTGAAAAATATTATATTTAGCATTTTTATAATTTATGGTTATGAAATACAGCATAAAACAACATAAAACATCTAAAACATCTTTTTTTCTTTTTTTTTGCGTTAATGGTGAACACTTTCAAACAATTATTTTTTCCAATTTCCCTTTTTTTCCAATTATTTAGATCTGAGAGAAACAGTTATTCACCATTAAATTTCTTTTTAATTTAAAAAAGTCAATTATTGATAATTTTTTTTAGCATGAAAAAAAATTCAAACTATTTTTTGGGGAATTTTATATTTTAGTACATATATAATTCCGATAACTAACATATTTTTTTTAGCAACTATTAAATAATTTTTTATAATTATAAAAATACCAAAATATATTTTTGCTAGTAATTTGAACGTCAGAAATATATAAAGATATGTAAAAGCGACACCTGTGTACCATCTGCTTCTAAAAGTTAATATGCACCAAAGTGAAGTTTATAAATTTAGGTTTTAAATTGAGATACATAAAGTTTAGAATACTACCAGGAAGCTTAATTTTTATTCTTGCAGCATAACCAACGAAATTAACACGTCGAATTAAAATAAGATATAACTAAATTTAAATATTACGTATAACCAACCAGGATTTACAGCTATTTCGTTGAACATAAAGTATCCCAGAAAAACTTTTTAGCTTCAAGACTTTTATTTAGTTTATTCTACCACATACATATAGGGTAGACCAAATTTACCACAATTAATCTTGAAGAAGCAAATGGTTGTAGCATTGTTCTTTTCTCTGTCCCACATTCACAACGCAACAGACAATAATGATCCATGCATTCTATATTTGAAGAAATAAAACTTAAAGAAAATCAAATTATCAAATAAATAATTTGACTTAAGTTTAATATTGCGTATAGCATCGATATTAATATTATAAAAAGCTTTAATTAACTTAAATATTTTGCATAAAATTTTACTATTAATCTGTACGTAAAATATAACTCTAAAAAGTATCAGTATCATACCTTTTTTTTATGAACAAAAGGCTGTGAAAAAACATTTAATTTTGGTCTAAGTGCCCAGACTAAGCATATAAAATAACCAATTAACCTTTATATTTTTTCTATTAAGGAAAATACTAGTTATTCAATGTGTACGCTTAAATTCGACATCTTCGACTCCATTTGTCCTATTTTAGAACAAAAGAAACGCTTTATATTTCTTCTTTATTAAAAACAAGCTCTAAAAATATTTACATGATATGCTCATAAATCCTCTGATGTAATTAAAAAAATAAAACTTACTGATATGAAAAATTAAGAGAAATATGATCAAGAACTAGAAATACATAAATACTATAAACACACTTGTCACTACCTTTGTATTCTTTGCAAATACCAACCATTATAAAGTCTGCTGAAAAAAGAATCCGGTCTGTTCAATGGTTGAACATGCAAAAGTCGAGATCCAGTTTCAAGAGCGTTCAAATATTGTAAAGATAAATTTGTACTCTTAGGGTTAGCTTTAAATTGGTTCAGTCTTTCAACCTGTAGTGGTATACCTCCAGGAGCGGTCAAAACTCTTGGCACCTTAGGGAGGCGTTTTTTATACTGTTGCATGTTTTGTGAGGGTGAGGCTTTTGCTGGTGGAATAAAAACTCCATGTCTGTGTCTAACTTGTTGGGCATTTTTACGAAAGTTTCTCATCTTTGGCAAAGGTGCGAACGTTTGCCGAGGTTTATCTTTAACAAAATATCCAAAGTCTTTAGAAATCAACCCTTCTTCTGCTTTTGAACTTTGTTGTGTTATGGGATTTGTGTCCTTAGGTTGTGGAGACTCGATTGAAGAAAAATCGGTGAAACCAGCAAATCTATCACGATTATTCGGAAAACGTTCTTTCTGCAAACGAGGTTTATTTAGTTTGACCAACTGTTGTGGCTTCCGTGTGGGAACTTTTGCTGGTTGACTCGTTTCATATGAAGCCGAATAATCTTTCTGAGAATAATTGATTTTTGGACGAACGGTGCCAGCTGATTTCAAAAGAGTTTGATATTTTTTGATGAGTTTGCGGTTTCTGTCGGATTCTAACTTCTTAGCTAATAGCTCTGATTCAAAAGTGGAAGAAAAGTCCTTTAGATGGTCACTACTTATATCGCCGATGACGTATTCATCGCTAGAAGAAGGTATCAGTTTTGTGTCCAGTAGCGAGCTGTAATCTTTGAAACCATCGAACTTTTCATTATCCGAAAATGGCAAAAGCATTGTCATTTTCTTGGATTTCTTGACGTATGGTTGGTAATCTTCCATATTGCTGCTGCCTAAGTCCCAATAAACTGGTCGGATTTTATCTTCGTCCAATTTCAATGAGGGTTCTTCTGGCAACTGATGCTGATGACTATGATAATGAACATGGTATTCTTTATGTTCTTTGGGCTTTTTCGGTTCTTCCTTTGGAACACTTGCTTTGTGAATGTTCGATTCAGAAGTTATTTCCTTGCTGCTTGGCTTTTGTTTGCTTTGTTGCTTTCGAATGATTTTAAAGGTTTTGGTAGTTGGCTGAGATTTCTGCTCTGAACTCTCTTTTTTCCGAATGAGGTCCAATATAAAATCGATTTCTTCAGATTCTTCTCCACTGGATTGTTCTTCAGATTCTTCCATTGATCTGGAAGAAGAATTCTCACGGATAACTACTACTTTGACAGAAGTTGCGGATTTCAAAACAGTGATTAAAACTGTAACAATGACCTGGAAAAAAAAACACTACTGTTTATGAAATGATCTGTAAAGCTACAATTACGAACACAAATTTTTGGCAAACATCTTTCTTATTTTTATTTTTTTTTTAAATGTAAGAAATAAAAACAAATAATGTTTTGTAAATAACTATTTTTAAAAATTTTAATTAATATTGTTAAAATATTATTCTATAATTCATATTATTTTATTTATTGAATTATTATTCTATTTATTGGAATTTCTATTATCAGAAGAGAAAAAGATCCAAAATAAGATATTTAATATATAACCTAAAATAATTATCCGAGTTTAAATTAAAACTATTTAATATATTGAGTGTAAATTACAGTATAGATTATTATACTATTCAGTAAACGCCCATTTTTGCCACTGTAAAATTGTTAAATTTTTTCCAAAATTTTGAAATTCCTGAAAATTCAAAAAACCTTAGCAGAATCCAAGAAAAAAGAATAAAAATTGCAAAATTAAATGAGAGAAAGCTAATTTTATAGAAATAGTTGATAAATAATGTATTTTTTTTTTTTCTTGGATCTAAATTACTGTAANTTTTTTTTTTTTTTTTTTTTTTTTTTTGGCGTTAATTTTTTTCGTTTGAAACTCTGAAAATCTGATATGATTTATATCAAATTTTTAAAAAATATCACTGTATATTTCATACATTTTCACAAGAATTGCTGTTCAATTTTATACTGAATTCATTTTTGCACAGGAGATTTCATTTTTACATTAGTGCACTTGTCACCCAATAGTAAAAATAATTTGATATCTTTAGTGTTCATTTCATTATTTGTGTATTTCTCGAGAATTTTTAAGGCAAATGGAAGACGTTTTGTTAAGAAATGCAAAATTCGTTTTACCTAAAATAAATTCAAAGTAAAAAAAATTTTATTGTTTGCTTGTTTCAATAATCGTCAAGAAATTCAGAATTGTAAGATAAACAAGTTTCAATATCACTAATAAATTGCAGTAGAAAATTCAAAATTTGAACAAAATCCGTAAAAAAGTTTTTGAAAAATGACTTTTTTTTAAAACGCAGAAACTGTTCTACCGATTTTGTTCAAATTTAGTATTTTTCCATTTAAAATTACACAGTTTAAAATTACATAGTTTCAAATATAATATTATTTTTTTAAAATTTTATTTTTATTTTACTTTGCATGTCTTTTTTCTCTTCATTTTCATGCATTGTCATCCAATTCTGAACTGTGTGCTAAATTTGAAGTTTGTAGCTAGTCGGGAAGTTAGTTTAAAATCGATTACAAAATTCCACCCGGACAGACATACACGAAGGCAAGTTTATATAAACGTGGTAAAAATGCTTCGCCTTACATTTCACATTTTCCATTTCACTTTCATTAGTTTTCATTTTCAAATAAAATAATATGACTAATAGCTGTCAATAATAATAATGAGATAATTTTCCAGATTGCAACCACCTCTTCCAAGCATATGTTCCAAGCAAAAACTCTGATCCACGGATATAAAAAAAGATGTATATTACTTCATACAAACTACGTTTTTGCGCTTGATACTGTAGCTCTAATTATTTAATGCAGCTATTAATATTTTTAATTATTCAGCTAGTTATAACGCTGGGGAATAAATTTTTGATGCATTTATACAAATACTTGAGCTTGCCAGATTCGGGTGTGGGGATTTCAAATCTAAAATTAATTTTGCTTCTAAAACAAAGGATTTTTTTTTAAAATTACATTTTAGTCCATTTGTTGTCAAAACGTACAAATTTAAAAACATTACATATAACAGGTTGTTGCATAAATGTTGTAAATTTTTTCTTGAGGAGTTACGGCAGATTTTCAGGATTAAAATTTCATAAGAACCCATGCTCATCGTATACGGCTATGGGAGCTTTCTTATTATGACCTGTTCAGAAACACTCAAAGAAACAGTTCATATTAGAGAAGCGCCCGTAGAGGCGTATGACGAAATGTTCAAGTATGGATTCCTGTGCAATTTTAATCCTGATGTTGTGTCCTAACTCCTTTGGAAGTTTTTCGCAACATTTAAGATTATAGCATTTTTAAACTTGTACATTTCGTCAAAAAATAGACCAAAAAATTTATTTTAAAAAGAGAAAGAAATAAAAAAAGAAAAGCTATAGCTTGGAGAAAAAAAAACAGATTTCAGACTTGAAACCAGCGATAAAGTGCCTAAAATCTGTCAAAAAATCTCATGCAACGGAAAACGAAGGAAAAAAAAATTCCCCAGTGTAATAGTGCTAATCATCAATAGTTGATTGACTATTAATTGAAATACAATAAAAGAGTTGATTGACCTCTAATTGATGGACATATTTCAGGTCAACCATTTGAACTATTAAAATTGATACTTGGTATGTGAAAAGCAAATCATTAGAACTATAGCTATTCTGGGTCATATCTTTTTTTCTTTTTTTGGGGGGGGGGTTCATTGTACATTTCAGGGTTAAATGATATATTACTATGAAAATTTACAACTTATTTAGAATAGAAAACAGTTTATTAAGCGAAGTTTCAAAACTGACATGAAGAAAAATTTAGAGATAAAAAGCTTAAGTTCATATTGGACAGTGGACATCAGGAACATCTTTTCACTTTTTTTCTCAATACAAGAACTTAATACATTTGCCGGCTTTTCTTTTGCTGGAATTACAGCGATTTAAAAAGGATAATTTCGGTATTTAACTTCTGAAACCATTTCAGATTTTATATAGTATGCATCATGTAATATCAGTTTACATTATATAATGTCAAATAGTATACATCATATAATGTCAGATACTATATTTCAGGTTGAAAACTCATTAAAACTGCATTTTACAGTAACAGAGTGAAATTACAGTTACTGTATTTTTACTCTCTTTAAATTAGCATCCTGCTATAATTCAGGGTGTTTATAAAGTCCCGGACCCATTTTGATGTTTAATAACTCATAAAATAATAAAGATAGATTAAAATTAATAACATAAATGGTTTGATAGACTCAAAAAGTTTCATGACCCTTGTCAATGAACTTCCACGTGTGCCCCCTTCGTCGCACGGAGAATATCAAGTCGATAGTCAATTTCACGCCAGGTAGCGGCAAGCATGTCGGCATCCACAGAGGCTATTGCGGTTGTAATTCTGGCTTTTAGGCCATCAATGTTCGACACGATCCTCCTGTAAACATTGTCCTTTATAAATCCCCAAAGAAAAAAGTCCAGCGGCGTTATATCAGGTGATCTGGGTGGCCAAGGAATTGGACCTCCTCGCCCAATCCATCTTCCTGTAAAATGGTCATTCAAAGAACTACGAACGATGATACCCCAATGAGGTGGTGCACCATCTTGTTGCAAAAAGACATGTGGCTGAAGCTCTTCTAGTTGTGGAAATACGAAGTTTTCCAACATGTCTAAGTATACGACTGATGAGATTGTCTTTTCTGTAAAAAAGAAAGCTACCTCTCGTGAAATTGACTATCGACTTGATATTCTCCGTGCGACGAAGGGGGCACACGTGGAAGTTCATTGACAAGGGTCATGAAACTTTTTGAGTCTATCTAACCATTAATGTTATTAATTTTAATCTATCTTTATTATTTTATGAGTTATTAAACATCAAAATGGGTCCGGGACTTTATAAACACCCTGTATATTTTGATAAATTCAATTTCTTTAAGACTCAAAATATGGAATTATTTTCTTTTTTTTGTAGCAAGTAATATAACTTTTTCTCAACGTTTCAACTGGAACTTAGTATTGTCTGTAGTTGGAAAAAAACGAACGCTAATCTTTGGGATAAAAGATAAATATTTTATCAGCAGATAACTTTTCGTTCGCAAGTATTATGGAGATTACGATAACGCTCCAATGATTTTTCGCAGAATAAAGTCTAGTTACATAGTGAATAAACATTGCAACAAAGAAACATTTCCAGAAAAAAAAAATTTAAATAGGGAAGTTAATGGTAACAAAGAAATAATAATGAAAAAAAATAGACATTAGTTGAGGGAATAAAAACTTGCTATCTGGAAAATATTTATCATTTATCAAATGGACATAAAACATTTTAACATGAGATATTTCTAGAAACTTTCCATTCTTAAAATTATTTTTCAACATACGAATAAAGTAATATTAAACATGATAATGTACAACAGTAATTTTAAATATAAAACGTAAAGATGCCAACGAAAAATGGAGAAATAAAGGAGAGAAACAAAACTAGAAAAACTAATGCAGCCGAGAGGAAAATGCATTTCCTCCCGCTATGGAAAGATAATGAGAAACTAATGTCGTTAACAAGGGAATCAGCATTCATATGAATAAAACAAGATTCCAGGGCATCAAGATGAGCTGATGTGACAGGAGTGGAAATAGTTTTGGCTTGCCGAAATTAAATTTACGCCCAAGATTCCAGTCATGTGCAGCAATTGATAATTTCTCGTAGTTTCTTTATAGCGTATTCACTTTAAAATACAGACATAAATTAATTCCACCTGAGTCACATCAGCTCATCTTGATGCCCTGGAAGTTATTCACGTCAATGCTGATTCCCTTGTTTACGACATGCGTTCCTCGCCACTTCTTCATAGCTAGTGGGAATGCATTTTACCCTTATTTGCCCCTATTTGCCACTGTTTTTTTTCTTCCTTTTTATTTCTTTGGGCTACATTTGTTTTTCGAGTTTTGTTTCTCACCTTTATTTTTCCGTGTTTCGTTGGCAACTTTACAATTTATATTTAAAATCTTTGTTTCTTCTCATTCTCGTCTGGCACGAAAAAGGGCGCCTATTTTTGAGAGCTTCAAACATGGTGACTGTCATATCCTGTTTTTATATTTTCGAAACGAATGCAGTTTCTAGTCAGGTAATATGAGTTAAGTATTTTTATGTCACTCAGCAAAAATGAAAAATTAATTAATAAATAAAAAACTTGATGACATATACTATTTCAAATTTCGTAAAACAATTTATTTTAAATTTTTTTTTCATTTGCCACAAAAATTATTG